GTCCTTCGTTCACCCGAAGTGCCGTTCTCAGGAGTTATTCTACACATCGTCCTTGTCGACTTTGTTCCCCGGCGAGCCCAGCCATTCGGGGAAACCCGAATGCCGACGCGGTTCGCAAGGTCGTCATCGTCCGATCTTTCGTTCTCAAGACTATGGGTCCCTAGTGGTTCAACTTGGATATCAACAGCATACTTGGTCTCAAGAAAAATATTGAATTTTAAATCAAAGGGGCCAAGAGCATTTTAGTTCAAAGGGGGCGAATTGGTGATACACAAAGGGCTGGGTTTTAGGCTCTAAAGGGCTAAAAAATTGAGGCCTACGGTTTACATAGCACAAAGGGACCGAAAAACAATATAAAAAAGGTTTGCACTTAGACTTGATACCGAACGAGAATTTGATTAGCAAACGAAGTTGTCGAACTTTGGAATAATTTAAGTAGAGACGTCCACAAAAATTATTTAACTTAAGGATTAAGTAGACGAGGACGTCTAAATAATCTTGAAGAACTTAGTCGAGCTTAGAAAATTAAATGCAATGCAATGCACAAATAAAATAAAACGAGATGTCTATTCTTAATCGAATGGGTCACTACATCCATGCCTTGAAGATTTGGCGGCACTACCTCTGCGGGGGTAAGTGCGACATATTCACTAACCACAAGAGCCTGAAGTACATTTTCACCCAGAAGGAGCTCAACATGCGACAGAGGCGATGGCTTGAGCTAGTGAAGGACTACGACTGCACCATTAGCTACCATCCCGGGAAAGCTAATGTGGTCGCCGACGCGTTGAGTCAGAGAGGTCGTGGTGAGCTACAAAATATCGAGCTTGTAGTTTAAGTTAAAACACTCATTTCATATAAAAATGTGTTTACTTATAAACATAAATATCGATATATGTAACATCAAGTTGTAAAAGATTTAGAATTTATATCACCATCAAAATTTTATGTAACATTTACAGCATGTTGCATTGAATTTTTGTTGATTAGAGCTTATCAAGTGACCACTTTTTTTAAGAAAAATAAAAATAAAAATAAAAATATGTGCTTGCACAAAAAAATAAAGTAAACAATAAACATTAAAAAATCTAACAATCCAACTAAATACTCGGTTTTATAAATCACTAAATTGTTTTACAATTTAGAGGCCGAAAGAGTAAATCATTATAAATATGTTCAAAAATTTATCTAATAATGTAAAATATAAGGATCGTTAGTATATTTTTCAATAAATAGCATAGAAACTAAGTTTTAATTATTTATATTAATTTAAATTAAAATATCATAAAAACTAAGTTTTAATTATTTATATATTATAAATATTTTTTGTAATTTTGTCCATATTTTATAGTGTTTTCTTTTTTATATGTATATATATAATGATATTTAAAAAAAAATGAGGGGGGTCCCCCCTAGACCCCATGTGGATCCGTCCATGCATGCACATATCTCCTCAACATAGAGACATGGAACACATTGTGCACTCCTAAAGCTCTGGTGGTAGAGCCAACCGATAGAGTAGGTCGCCAACTTGGTCAAAAATCTCGGAAGGACCAATGAATCGAGGCTGCAACTTCACCCATTCCCGAATTGAATCACACCTTTCATCAGGGTGACCTTCAGGAAGACCTTGTTTCCTTCCTCAAACTGAAGATCCTTCCTCCTTTGATCAGCGTAGGACTTCTGCTGGTCCTGGGCTGCCTTGATCCTCGCTCGGATCTCATTGACCTGCTCCACAGTCTTCTTAATGATCTCAGGCCCAAGAATCTTCCACTCGCCGACCTCATCCCAATACAAGGGTGTCTTACACCTGCGCCCGTACAATGCCTATGCCATCTGAATCGTAGCCTGATAACTGTTGTTATAGGCAAACTCAACCAAAGACCATGATTCCTCCCACGAAACACCTCTATCAAGCACAAAAGACCTCAACATGTCCTCAAGTGTCTTGATCGTTCGCTCCGACTGTCCATCCATCTAGGGAGTGATAATGTAACACCCCAATTTTGAAGGATTTATCGAATTTATTTATAAAAATCACGATAAATTTATTTAATCTCAATTGAATTAAAAACTCAGTGGCGCCAATTAATTACTAAGAACTAATAATCGCAAATATCATCACTCATTAAGTTCCAACCATGAAATCAAAACATAATCGAACCCTAAAAAACAAGTAGGAAAGAAATCCAAGTCTATCAATAAAATAAATAAGCGGAAGCTCCGATAACTAACATCAGTTCATACATGCGGAAGTAATTAATAGTCATAAATAAAGGAAACAAGACCGCCCACTCGTCCTATCTCGTCAGCCGCCAACTGCTTAACCTGCATCCGTGAAGAGCAGGTGGGAGTGAGTACAGTTGGAAAATATTGTACTCACACTATGCATATGAATAACTCAGAATATGTTAAGATGGTATGGTCGCAGCATGAACATAAACAATAATAAATCATGTCTCATCTCTAGTCATTTCTATGACCCTTGCGCCATTGCTATGGCTCACTCATGTGCACATCTACGCTCTGCAGTGCCATATCTATGACGCGGGAGTGCGTGCCACGTAAGGACACGGCCTTATCTAAGGACTTAAGGAGATTTACCTCGTAAGGATAACCAGATGTCTATCGATAGTCTACATGCTCACATGCATACAAAGATCATACCGGTTAAACATATTTAAACACACATATGCATAGAATTTTTTTGAATAACTAACCTATCTGGATTTCCGAGTTGGAAAAACTCGACAAGCAAAGGGTGTAGGTCGAGGCTTGACTTCTCAATTACCTACATTCGTTGGGACTTGTCTCAGAACCTTATCAAGGCTTAACTTATACTTGCTAGTCTTATACATAAATATAAACTTTGAAAACTAGCTCGCTTGGCTTCGCCTTGCTCGCATACTTTAAAAACGTTTTATTGTTTAAGTTTTTTTTGTTGTTGGATATCTTAGCTTGTTTAACTTCTAGCTCTAAGGGCATCAAAGTATCAAACATACTACATGGATCAACAAATAGCTCACTTAGGTCATATATTCGTGCATTTTGATAGTGCGTGCCATTTTCGAAATCAAACTAATGATTTTGCAAAACATGATATGCGCAGCGATTTTCAAATGATCACAACTAGCAGCACATAAGTCGAAATAACATGAAAACAGTGGCATGCGATTCCTAAGACATAGATCTACAACTTTCAAGAACAACTTAGAATTATAAGTGTAACGCCCCGCCCTAACTTAATTATAAGAGTACGATTATAAAACATTTTTTTTTTTAAAAAAAAAATAGTTTGAGAAAATGATTCGGAGCATTACTAAAACATTTATTTTATCTTTTAGAAATCCGTTACGACCGTCTAAAAATTTACAACAAAACGGATTTACATAATATACAATCCGACTATAAAATCGGATCAAAAGTCAAAGTTTGTCAAACAGTAAATTCAGCGGAATATAGCGTGGCAAAATATACAGCAAAATATTTAACTTCGATCCACCCGTCAACTTCACAGCTCCAGACCGACTCCATGACCTGAAAAATTTTATAAAAATGGGGTGTGAGTACCACTGTACTCCGTAGGAACTCATACTAAAGTAAACAGCAAAAATAATAATAACATCATGATCAAAAGCATATAACATAACCGTGAATTTCCTGGTCAACAGTATAAACCGGACCCGGACCCGTGAATCTACCGGCTGCCATGATATAATGATAATGATAATAATAATGTTTGCCGGAATCCATGTGCACATACTAGTGGTAGATGATGCCACTAGAACTTAG